ACAACATGGCACAATCTAACCCCCTGAGACAATATAACAAAATTTTTGCTTCTTGACGTCCTTTTTCTAATAATGTTTCTCTTCCGGTGAAATACGTCTTTTTTCAAAACTGATCTGTAGACAAAGTTTGTCTATTTATTACCCGGTAAATTGTATAGAAATAGTGTTTCTTCATACGATATGCATAGTTTTCTTGTGTGCATTTTTTTTCAAACTAGAGTATAGCGTTTCTTTCACTCACAACCTCGTTATCTCACTATTACTATAGGTACTTAATTACCTTAGCAGTCCTGACAAATGTAAAATGTCGAATGTAGTAATAGGAAAATGAATGAATGAACAGAAATAAGTGGGACTCTGAACAATTGCTTGACAACAGGGAAAGTAGGAAACAGGCAAGAGGAAACACAAGTTTAGGTGAATGTCGACAAGTTAATGTAGCGCCCATTTGTATCATAATATTATTAACGGACGGGTGCAGCCTGAAAAGGTATGTTGACAGATCAATCATATATAGCATCCTACATAAATATCAATCTCAATGTGAGCTTTTCCTTTATTCTCGTCCCGCGTTCTCTCTCGCCCTCCCATCCAGTATCGATCCCTCTTCCTATTCTCTAATGACCTTTTCACATCCTCCAAACGCAATAATAAACGTGTCCTCCACACCAATATCAACGTCATTTCGTCCCTCTGTTGGTAAGCGAACCCATGGAGTATGAAAATAATACCAATGTATACTCAAGTAATCGAAGAAAAAACAATCGGGGTCATGTTCCCAACTAAAAGAAGAGTTGGGGTATCCTGGCTACAAACGAAGCCGATTATGTAAATGGCATTGGAAGTCATAGACAGAATCCACCTCCATATTCTTATACACCGTCATCCCAACAATCCCCACCCGCTTATCTCACGCAACTACGCTTGCCACAACTCTTCTCTCGCTCCGTCGTCAGATCAGTCTTCCACCGTATTGATACAGCGTCAACTACACCGCCTATCTAAGTGTCCCTTGAAGAGACATTCAGGTACGAAATAAGACGGCCCGAGGATTTTGTTGGTAGATCCGACGATAGCATAGAGTCCAAATTGAGTTTCTTGATAGGATCGTGCTGGTTTTTATGATGGGGAAATTGTTGAGAGCGTGTTGGATGAAGGATGCCATTATATTAGTATGATTTCTGCTAATAATGCCACATACAGTAGTGAGCATAAGTATCTGATTATAATATAAGCACCTCTCTGTAATGGGCAGCAAGCTGCCTAATTGAGTGATTATTATAGCTGATTTATTGACATATTTCTTTCTATGGCATGTTTGGTATTTTAATTTGTCTGATCAGCGTATGGTTTGTGTACGATGCAGTACGTTTGACGAAGGAAAGCAATGTATGGACGGATCGGGTAGACAGTGTGTCGGATACATCTTCTCGAAGAATTGATAGATTTTAAGCATCCGTTTTCTTCTAGTTTTCGTGTTACGTATTGGAAGAGAAGGACATCCTCGTTGGCAGTAAATCGTCTTGCCCTCGCCTTTCCTTCTTAAACATCCGGAATACGTTAACGTCTCCCAGACAGAAAGCATCTCCCTATACACGATTTTGACCATACGAATAGAGGAAGACGGGGATGCCAAACAGAACATACGCCCAGCACTAGATGCTACATTAATTCGTGGCTTGTAAGATTGCCTGCCCAATTACATACAATGTGCGGTGGGGAGATGAAGGGAAGCACAAGAAATCCTCACAATGTTCGACATCATACGTTTCTTTTCGACGAAGTCAGTGGTCAGGATAGACAACGGACCTGATGGAGAGTTAATACCCAATTCTGCCAACTTCCCCAAACTCATCAATAATACATCAAGCACATCGCCCAGCGCTCAGCTCCAATCTTCGCACAAATCATCACGAGATGCGCAACATTGTAGATACAATCGTCACTTGAGAATATGAAATAGCAAGCGTGCTAATAATACTTGCGAAGTCTACCAATGGACAGTTACGACGACAAGACGTCGATGTGCTTTGTTTCTTTTGACTTGCACTTTTATGGCGGTTTCTTCGTAATCCGCTTTCTGTCCTCCTGTTGATACCGAAGCCTTCTACCTCGTCTTGACCATCCATCCATTCGATGCATGTGATCCACGACTGCTTACTATTATCAGACGTTTTCCAAATCATTCGTTATGACGTCCTCGGGATCGTCCCTTCTCATGTCTATGTAAAAACCCTCCATTGTTATTGCATCGTTTTAAAAGATAGGGTTCGGCTGCCTCTCGAGCTCTTTTCGTAGTCTTCTTTGGTAAGATACTCTCTGGAAGGGAGAAGTCGCATGTAGGAATAGTCAGTACAGTGATAGTTGTATTCTGCGGGCAGTGGAATTAGATGGTGGTATTGGTAAAGTTGATGTCAGTATCAGTGTTGGGGGATTGATGCTGTGTAAGGGACGGACGAAATATTATAGTTAAGATTAATTGATGTTGTAATAATGTAAGTAATATTACATTCTTTGAAAGACTTGATAACGATAAGGTAAGAGCTTGTGCAACCAATACAGTGTTCTTATTAATATACCTGGGAAGTCACTTTTACGCAGTATGTCGCAGTCGTCTCAGAATAATATTTAATAACATATTGGATATCGATAATCGATTAACGTTAGCGTAGATTCTTACCTTCAGTGGTAAACACCGTATTAATATGTAACAAATTATAATAATAAATAAGGCACCTATTACTGAGGTCCAATTAACAAGATAAATTTTAAAGTTGAAATCAAGTGAACCTAGAATTAGCAACAAGTACATTATTAATACGCAACAAGGACACGGAAGACGATAGAGTAACGTGTAGGTCAAAGTCAATAACGATAATAATGTATATATCCTAATACGGGATCTGCGGGAAAAGAATGTATTATCTAATAATTAGAGTTTCACAAGGACAACTTGATCGAGTCAATTGTCTTCCCATAAAAGCAATGTTGCAAAGGAATTTATTTTAAGAAATCGTATGATCATCGGTCCTTTCTGGTTTCGGGTATTTTTAATCACATACCAAATTTGGCTTGTGCACAAAGATTTCATATATTCTATTTTTAACTTGCTATTGTTCCCAATTCGGACAATAAGTTTGTTCAGGTAATACAAATTTTATTACCTACCTAAAACGCGAATGTTTATAAGTAATTGAGGTCGAGCTTCACACAACAATCAACAGCTGCGAATACTGACTTTTATTAACAAAACAGATTTCTAAATTTAAAAAATTATTTATCGTACACATAAATTCATTATGTCAAATCAAAGTAGCAACACATTCAGAAACTTTGACGACGTTGACAGCAACACGTCTGACAATGACCATACGCTTATATTCGATTCGAGTATAATGCATAACTTCGAGGATGAAATCAGTGAGGAAGAGATAGAGGGGAGTGATGAAGAATACGAAGATTGTGAAGACGATATTGAGACGGATAATGATAACAATGAGCTTATAAACGAAGATATATTAATACCCGAATCTGAAACATGTGATTCGTTAACACCATGTGTCCTTCTTGAGAAACGGAATGGGGTTGTAACTCGCTGTGGAGGGACAAATAATTTGAGAAGAATTTGGAATCTCATAGGCGCGTGGGAACTCGATAATCGAGCCGTGGATGAAGTAAATAAACAAGTAGAACGGCTTGGAGTATGTTATACTCATTTTATGTTTGATTTCCGAACTTTACACTCCCCTGGATTGAAGCAAAGCAAAAGCCATGAAAAGGCTACTATTGCCAGTCATCGTTGTGTATTCTGTAAAAAATATTGTCGTGTCTACTACCGTGGGAAGGAATGTACAGAACATTGTTGGCTATTTTTGGGGAAAAAAACACAAGCTCCGTGTATAGGTCAACACAATTGCCCAGCGATTAAAAGTGTTCCACGTGTCGTCCAGAAAATGACAGAAGGCAGTTCTCAACGACCACAATACATTTGTTACACATGTTATGAATTACAAGGCGGACATTTGCACCAGCAAGGAGAACGGAGTGACAAAGCCTGTGCTAAGACAGAAAAACATGCAGAAGATACAACAACATCACTGGAATTACTTGGAAACATGGTATTACATGTGGCCAAGAAAGGTGACAGCCCAGTAAAGGAGAGAGTTTTAAGATATGCAGTACAAATGTTGCAGGGTTTACAAGAAAGTGAACCAGAGACATCTGATAGAGCCCCAATACCAAGTCCATTTGTAATTAGGACAATCTTAAAAAACCATAGAATGTCTCCAGAAAGTCTTAATAATAATAATATTAATACTACAATAACACCTGAGACTTCACTTCAATTTGGGGAAAACCTTGCCAAAAACATTTGGAACTCACGTAATGTTATAAACATCAAGAAAGATGTTTTGGAGGCACCAGACTCATTAACTTCCTATGTTAATGGAATGCCTCAAATTTTAATTCAACTATTTATTGGAATTGTCTCAACATTTTTCAAAATGCGAAAACAAGTGAGTAATCGAAAAAAAGGCAAGTCAATATCAAAGGCAACTACCACTGCAGGTGTTTCTTTAACAGCAAATGAGAATGAAAAAATTACAAGAATAGCTGCATTCCTGTCATCAATCATCTTAACAACTGCCTTTAAAAAATTAAAAGTCTGGGTTACACATGCTTTAGCCATAGCATGTCACAAGCCAAAATTATTACCATCCATAAGATCCTTTTTTGAAGCAGTTAATGTTGTCTCACATACTAGCCGGTGGGAACGTCTTCTAAGAAAACATCGAATACAATCAGCAGATCCAACTGAAAAAATACAGATTAATCCATATATATGGAATGTCTGTGTAATTGACAACATTGATTTTGAGGAAGCTACTTATGAGCGTGGTAATATTTATAATAAGGCTCTAAAAACATTCCATGCTACACTGCGTGTGATTTTTCAGTTTACACTTCCACAACAAATTGGCTCTATCACTAATAATAATAATGAAGATGAAATGGAACTTGATGAAACAACTTGTCTGATTGGAGATAATTTTTATTCTAAAGCCTGGCTTGGAAAAGTGAGCAATGTTATTAGAAACCTTATAACATCAAAGCAGCATACACTTGATGATGATAAGATGGCAGGTATTAATCCAGATGATGTTCACATGGAGTTGTTAAAAGATATTACAATAGGTTGCAAAGTTCCAAAACCCAACATAATAATTCTTGAACCAGGTGAGGCACCAAATTCCAATGAAAATATTGAGAAAGTTTGTTTTACATACTTTGATGATTTGAACATTACAAATGAAGATAATAA